TCACAGAAATGCCTGTTACAGCTCTTCAGCACTTTAAAACTGAAGTTATAGCTGCAGGCACATGACAAGGAGCCAGAGTGTGAGGAGACCTGAGATGTATAGCAGGTCACATATGGCGTCTGAAAATCATGATAGAACAACTTCACCACCACAGACAAAAGAAAGAGCTTGCAGGAGGCTACCTGTGACCCTGGTCTAACCTGTCAGGCTATATCTGTCTTATTTTGGGCCAACAGGCACCACTTAATCTGGCAACTGTAACCTAGTCTGTCTATAGTAATCTGTCATACTGTCTCACTGCCTCAGTTGCCCTACCTTCTGCATCCAGATACGCAGCTTTGAGTACTCCCAGTGACAATGTCCCTGAGGGATCAATCACTTTCCAAGCCTAACAAATGAAGAAGAAGGGATTGGTTAAATTGTCATTAAAAAAGAATGCAGTGGAGGTGTGATTGTTCCATTTGTTAGCTCAGTTTGTCTCACATGGAGATAAACAGTGTAGGTACAAGGTAGCTGGAAGGTTAGATGGACGGCTAATGCTTAATTTCTCCAAGGATGTGCTCTAGATGAAGCTGTTCTCTAAATCACAGTCTTCTCTGTTTCCGTAAGAAGCTGGCTGGATGAAGCAAGTACAGGTACGAAGGCTCATATAAGCATCACACCTTCCCCTTCCATGAAGACATACTGCTAGGGCTTGCTACCTGAAAGGCTTGTATATCTTATTTGTGCAAGCCTAAATACCCCTATTTAGTATATCTCCATTTCCCCAAGAGGAAAGCTTTGAGGAGGTTTTCCAGAGGTAACCAATTTGCCTTTTCCCAGTCTCCCAAATCAATTCCTCTGCTCAGCCACAGGTTCCCTTCACAAAGCAACATCCACAGGTGGTAAATCTAGCCGACCTTTTCAGTGTGGTGTGTGTTCCCATGGATAACTGTCCCTATGGCCATACCATGTGTCAGCGATGCCTATTGTGCCCTGCGCAAGCCCCCAGAGAGCTCACCCCTGCTACTGCAATACAGAGCACAGCTGGCTCAGCTGGGCTGATAGAGCTCCACCTGAGTTTGCACTTGTCCTGGGTTCAGCAGGGAAACGAGCCACCTAAATATACTCTTAAAATAATAATGATATAACACAACCAGTTGCCTTGCTTGGTTCAGCGTGTGTTCCCACCAGTAAACGTAGCAGCACAAGTTACATGGGAGCATGGCATTGGAAAACACTGGTGAAGCTGTGGAGGCTGGCAGAGGATCTTCTACCTGGAGTGGCCACAGAAAGAGAATCTATGGTACCACAATAAGCTGCCTGCACCATGGGAAGCTGCCATGGCCAGAAGGTTTCAGGCTAAGTCTCTGTGTTTGCAAACATCCACTCCCAAGACACCAGAAGAAAAACGGTATGGCAGGTTAATGGAGGTGTCCAGAGAATTTTGAGCGTGACTTATGTTTGTGGGTTTTTTCTTGTCTGGCACACTTCTAACACCACATAAACCGCACCTTATCTGGTGTGGGAAGGTGGCCAATTAACTAAAATAAACAGGAGAGCTCAACAGAATACTTCTGCTTCATGTGGGTTGTAACAAGATCCTTATTTCACCTGAAATATATATGTATATTTAGTGCTGAAGAGTAATTATGAGACCTATTAATGAACATCAAACCTTGCTTAAAAGTTTCCCTGTTACCCAGTTAAAGGATGTTAATGCTTGTTATTTACACCTTCAATATCTCATGCTTTCATACATCAGTAACATCGACAGCTACCATTAAACCGTGAAATGGCTTTGTGCACACCAGGGGCTACTATTCAGGACCTCTGGCATCAGGGGACTGCTCTCTCCTTCCACATCCTGACCAATTCAGTCCAGAGCAGGTTACCACTTTGGGCCTAGCCTATTCTTCTGGTCATCATGGTCTCTGAAGATGTTTATGAATAAGTTTACTTATTCTAGTGAACCTCTGTTTGCTAAATATGAAACAAATAAAAAGTGAGTCCAGAATGGTGAACCTAGTCCTGAAATGTCTGCAGTCTTATGGAAAAGAGAGTGGAGTAAACCCATCCCTTTTCATTGAGCTCATCCTGGAGACAGAATTTGATGTGCTATTCCCCTTGTATCTTACAGTGATTCCCTCAATATGACAGCAGGGGACTTTGGCCCCAGAAATGCCTTCCTGACTACTGCTGCTGGCCTCAGGGCTGCTCATGCAGAGCCAAACTTTGCTGTCCTTCCCCAGGAGCTGAGCTTCTGAGAACCCTTTCTGCTGCCTATCAGCCCCTCTTCAGAGGTGATGAATTGCTGCTGATAGTCCTCTTCAAGCGAGCCAAACACACCAGGAGGAACTGTGTAAGGGTTTCACATTGATTAAGGTGTGTGGTAGTTATCCACCATCATGAGTCTGTCATTAGCTATTAATTAAGCTAAGTAAAAGATAAACATCGGCTTTAGGAGCCATTCCCAGAAATCAAGAGTTTGCTGTCACTGATATCCATAGGCTAGCATCTGCAGAAAGCAAGTTAAGTAGCTCTTAATTTTTCTGGCTGTATGTGTGAGACAGTGTTTGCCCTTAATTTTAGAGAATGTCATCTTGCTTCTGGCATAGCTGAAATTTTATGCCATGTTCAATTTTTAGCAACCTGCCTATTGTCAGCCTACACCAATGACGGCAACTAAAGCTGTCTGGGAGTCATCTGGGATTCTGAAAAGGATTTCCAGGAAAATCCTTGGTAGGATGATGCAGTGCATTATTTGAGCAGTGCTGACCAATCTTCTTGGCTCTTAAGCCAAATGTATATTTTGGCTGGCATGGGGCTTCCCCCATGGCTGCTGCTCTGCACCCCTCCTGCAGTGCCTGTGATGGCTCCCAGCAGTCCCGAGGCTGCAGGAACCCGTTGGGAATGTCCCCAGGCTGGACACATACACATGTCCACATAAGCACCTTCCAGCCCAGCTGCCTGTTACTCTGATTGCTACCTATTGTCTCCAGTCCCCAAGTGCAGAGGTGCCCATGGCAGCAAGAGACTGAGCCAGGATATGTGGATGGTGGTGCTAGCACTGTGTGGACTTGCTGTGTCTTGCTCAGACCTCTACTGGTGTACCAACATCTCTGCTCAGCCATCCCAGCAGTCCGAGTGTGGCCGAGTCATTGTTTCATGTGAGCCATCACCACATGGTCCATCTGCTTGTGTCCAGCCATGGAGATGTGTCCTAGTCACTTCCTAGCAGAGGGCCTGGCTTTCTCTGTATTTCTTCTGCTGTGTTAGTGAGCTCCCTTCTGATACCACTGACCACTACTCTAATGTCTAAAAGCTAAGCATCGTTTTTTTGGCCGTGTTGTTCCTCTTCACTGAGACATCAGCATTGAAGGCAGGCAGGGAGAAGAGGGATTTTGGCCCCAGAAGCAGGAACATCTCTTGTCTGCAGTTCAGACAACAGTCTTGGCAAGCACTGGTTGAGTTTAGTGAGTATTTTTGATACAGGCATTCTTAGAAAATTCCAAATCTGCAAAATTTGCAGAAAGCATTCTACAGGAAGGTACTAGCTGTTGACATTGTGAATTCAAATAAGAGCTGCATTTCTCAGGTGCCAACAGAGAAAAATGCCATTTCCTTAAAACTTGGGGAAAGTCAAAAAAGATGCAATAAAATCTACCTTTAGCTATCATCACACAACACATCCTCGTGATGACTCTCAGGAAAATTTCATCTGTGCCTTCCCTTTTTGCTACTTTCATGTCCTTTCCATCCTAATTACTAAATCCTCCTGAAAGTCTGAAAAGAGAATAATTTAATTCTTTAGACACACCACCCTCCTCTATTCCTTTGCAATCCCCATGCCTAATCAAAACATATGCAAACAGTCTGTTAACATGTTAAGCTAAAATAATATTTAAGGAAATAAAATGTTTTTAACACTGAACCTAACAGGCATCTTCATTTCATGGTAGATTCAAGATACCAGATTTTGTAAAATACTAGGTTTTGAAACCTCCGTGCTCTGAAGATCCTTGAGTCCAGGATATGAAATAAGTGAAGCTACAGCTTTCATCTCAAAGGGATTTAGAATAAATGGTGTTCAGAATTGTGTTTTCTCAGACTGTGCCTTAGCACCTCAAAGGCAAAAAGGTTTTTTCTATCTTTATCCACTATGAAAGAAACTCAATTTGCAACCTAAACTATCATTATGTCTTTGTGGATATCTCATCTAAGACTCATCAGATGAAACAATGCTTGGTCAAGTTTAGCAAAGGCTCAGCCAGTAGCCATGAACCGTTTCACAGTGCTGGTTCTGCACCAGAAGTGAAGAAGTGAACTTTCAGCTTTGGGGGTACATCACTGCTAAGGCTCACACATCTCCTCTGCCGCTTTGCTAATAGTGCCTTGTAAAGCAATACAGCTGGAAGGATTCTGAAAATCAAAAGTAGGTTTTTCTGCTTTGCTTGATTTGTTGCATCTGTGCCTGTCTCAGTGCATGGTATCTAACCACCACTCATCTTCCTAGCTTTGCCTAGACACTCCCTCTTAAACAATTCCTTTTTAGAGTGTCTTGCTTTGTGCCAGGCACTCTGTTTGCCATCCGCCTGAGCAGATGGAAATATGCATGCCTCTAACAAACTTGACCTTGTTAGGCTGCTCGTCCTTCATATCTGAGTGAGACAGAGATGTAAAACGTAACACCCACTACCTTGCAGAGGGCAAAGAGACTCAAACAGCGTGTGTCTGCCATGCTGTGAGGTGTCTCCCGCAATGCTGCAGTGATATGATCAGCATTGCAGCTCCTGCTTTTCAGCATCTCGGTGGTGTTGTAAAGTGTATGCTCGCCTGCTCACCAGCATGCCAACATTTTCTCTCTCTTCACCTCCTGGAAATCACACCTGGGGGCTAAACGTGGTGCATCAGGAAGCAGCCAAGGAAAGGCACATAGTATCAATAGCTGTCCTTTTGGCAGCGGTTAAAAGAGGAACTTGAGAGATAACCACAAAAATAGAAAGGTAATGTGTGAATGGAAAAAGAGGATAAACGGAGGTTTGTAAATTGTTTTGATTTGTGATTTGATCCCAAAAGGAAGTTTGAAAAAATGACTGCTGTCCGCTCTGCCTGCGCCACGTGTTGCTGCAGCCTAAGTGGGATTCGTCCCACTTTATGCAAGATACGAGAAAATTGTAAATCTAAAGTCTGTGGGCATGACTAAAGAAGTGAAACATGAACCTCTAGCAGACAATTCATCTGACATCCCTTAGATGCTTGATTATCCTCTGCAGCAGCCTGTTCTTTCCTAGAAAAAGAGACTACATTAGTCTCAGCCCTCGAGGACTCCAGGCAGTTGCCTACAGGGAGCTGTCTAGTGCCACTGGATATACCCTGGGGGTCTTGAGACACCTGTATGGGTCAGGAGGGAGGACACAGGAGCTGGAGGTGACCAGTGATGTTATGGCTGCCTGGAGCCATATCTGCGTGGGCAACTGAAGGAGCTCCCTAACTTGCAGGTCCTTGTATCAGGGCTGGTTAATCTTCCCACAAATAGCCTAAACAACCACGCTCAGCTTATTGCCTTAGTTAGAATAAAAGTGTTCTTGCTATAACTCCATGAACTTCACGCAGCCAAGCCCCACCCCTGCTGCTCAGCCAAAATGTGCTCTAGAATGCAAGGGCCACAGCTGAACCACAGCTGAGGGCAACATTTCAGTGTCTTACAAGTTCCCTTCCCACCTTATGCATCTCCTTAGTGGAAGAGTGTTGCAAAGTGTTGCGGGGAACCAAGGGAAGGGCTGCAGAGACATGAGTGTGGGCAGCGCAGAAGGAGGAGGGTGCAAATCCCTTCGGTCCACCTTAAACCTTCTCTTCCCTCCTCCACACCTCCGGAGAGCTTCCAAATCCTCTTCATCTACTGCTGGCATGTCTTTTTGAGTTCTGTAGCTGCTGTATAACAGGAAAGGAAGAATATGCAATTAGAATATAGTAAGTTATCATTAGAGATATATGAGAACTTTCATCTCTATATTCACATAAGATGTAGCTGGCACTACAATAATTTGAAATGAAAGAAATCTAGACCCTTTCAGCACGTTTAGATTCAGATTTCAGCGTGTTTTAGACTGGTGAAATCTGAGAATGCATAGCAAAATGACGTGTCCTTAATTCTTTGTCCTTTGTCATTGGCGGCAAGATCCCACCAATGCAGTGGAATAAGGACTGAGCTACCAAAATTTCACATCTGTTTTCCAGGCTGGGCAGTGTGGGTGACTGATAACAGCTCTTAAGAAGTATTAGCTCACTGCACAGTTAGCAATAGACAATCAAGACTTAAAAGACAGCCTAAAATTCAGAAACAAGTTAGCACTCCAGGTAACTTAAAAGCAGCTACTGATACCCTGTATCTCTCCTTTGTTTGGGGTGGTGAGGAAGCTGCCAGCTAAAAGAATGTTCTCTCCTTTTAGGGTGTAAGTCCCTGCTGTTGGCAAATTGTTCTCATGTTTGGTAAACCAGCCAACTTGTGACCTCTGAGTTGCTGACAAGTGAAGAGGGCACTCTTCTATCCCCGGGACAATAGTCAAAATATAATAGGCCAGATTCTCAAATCTGATCTGGCACTTCTGTGGTGTTCAGGAGGTGACAAGGAACTGGCAAACATCCTGCTGCTAATGGCCAGCCAGAAATGCCTCTCCTGGTCACCCCACCTCACCAGGAAAGCAAAAGTTGAGAAGAAGCAGGTGGAGATCTGCCCCACATAGAGATAAGCTTGACCCAGGTCACTGCGTCAGTATGAGGTGTCGTAACCCACAGACTGAGTACAGACTGCTGAGATAACCCAGCTGGCCTCATCCTGGTAGCCCTCATTGTCTGGATCAACCTAGAGTAGGCTGTAGGTCAATCAGATTAGTCTGGTTGCAGTTTTCTGCCAAGCAGCATTGGAGTAATCCATGGAGGTGTGGCTCTATGCCTAAGGCAGAGAAAAGAAGGGTGAGCATCACCTTCTGAGTTACAGGAGTAACTGTTGCTCTGGAGAGGAAAGAAACATCTTTCCTGGCAAGGGAAACTTTGCCAGCATTAATTATTACTAATGCCAAGTGTTAAGAAAAGACAAATAATGAGGCACATTTCAGCGAACTAGAGATTAAAAAATCAGTGCCTCTAGCTTGTGTTAATGGCCTCCTGGTACTTGAGCTTGTAGTGTAAGGAAAGGCTGGATATGTGTGGGAAGTGAAGGATTAGATGGTACCTTTACAGGAGCTCTTTATCACAAGGCTTGAAGGTGTTTCAGAAAAATGAAATCTGAGATTCTTACTCAGTCCTGCGTCTTCATGATCTGGAATCTTGAAGTAAAGGATCAAATATGATTTAACCACTGAAAAAAAAATGATAAATGCCCATCAAAGTTCAACATGTTCTGGCCTTCTCCTCTTAAAGACATCAGAGTTTCTGATGAAAACATCTTACAATAGTCCTCTACCACAGCTAAGACCTGGGAGAAGCATTCAGTCTTGCAGCAGTAAATGTCTCAGTTTTGCATTTTGTGGCTCTCTGGATTCTTGCTTCCTTTGGCCAGATACTAGGAACTACAAACCATCCTTATGGGACTCATATGCTCTACTTATTGATTAGTTTAGTCCAAAATTTTTCTTCAAAATAATTTTTGGTGAAAACCAATGTAACTTTCCCTTCTCCCCTCCCAATTACTTGCTTTCCAAAATGTTTCTTTTATTGAGAAAACTATGTAAATTAATTGAAACCTTGACCTTAGGACCTTATGAAATCTGGGTTTCAGTAGTTCTCTTCCCTTAGGTTGATTCCTGCCCTGCCCCGCTGCCTCCCCAGGGAACAGGGTTTCTCAGCAGGAGTTGCAAATTCTGCTACAGGCAGTGCTTGCCTAATGAGTGTGTGGAAAGGATGGGATGTGAGAGCACTAATATACAGCTCTCACCAGCCGCTGCAGAGGCATTTTTAAAATGTATTTGTTCTTGGTGGCATTTGTTTGTTTGTTTTTTTCTAATAAACACTGCTAACCTAGGGTTTCTGTTCTTTTTTTTTTAGCAAATCAAGGGAGGGAAGCACCCGTTTTCTACTCAGCTGGTACCAACTATTTTTGCACCTGCACCATTTGGCAGCAGATTTATTACTTATCTGTATTGCCATAGTGCCTAGGAGCCTGACAGAGACCAGAAACTCATAGAAACCAGAACAACAGCTATTTTGTGAAGCTGCGGTAACAGATTTTCAGCTGACAAATAGAAAATACTTATATTTGTTTGACAACACCTTTAGTACCTTTCAGACCATGATGAGAATTTAAAATACAGACAAACCAAAACAGGGACGTGTGGAGGTTTCTTATCTGTAAGATAATAAATCTGAACAAATGCAGGTATATATGCAACATGTACACCAGATACAGCTAGAAGCAGAGGCTTTTCAGCGATTAAAAGCACGATCAAGGTCCTACTGTCTATACAAAAACAAAATAGAAAAGTAGTTCTTTATGACTTTGTGTTAAATTCAGCATTATCACGTAACGCATAAGCTCAAACCAAAACCTCTCCTTTGGCTGGGGCATTTGGTGTGGGTTTTTTGATGTGTAATGAGGAGACCACCTCAACCCTACGTGCTTCTAGTGTTTTGTTTCTCTAGTAGTCGCTAAAGCTATTTTTATGACTCTTGTAGAGATATATTTGAGAGCACTACCCTTCTAAAAATGTATATAGAATTTATCAAGAGGCTTCAATGGTTATTGGGTGATACACACACAGAGCATGACTGGACAGAAAGATGTCTGTGGCAACATACCTAACAAGCTGCTCTCCCTTAAAAGTCTTTCAGAGCTCTGCAGAGTGCAGTAGCCTAAAAACCCTTACCTGTCAGGCTCGTCGCGATCAAATTAAATAGGAAAAGCATTTGGAAGGCAAGTTCCTATTTTTGCCTTCGTGTTGGCATTTCAAAACTTTCCCCAGAACCAGCTCCAGTGTTTTAAAGAAAGTGCCATGTGGGAGGAGAGAAATAGTGCTGAGCAAGAGCAGGAACAGCACAGGAAGGCTCTCTGCCAGGGTTTGCCTCGTCATCCCGAAGTTCAGTTCTGAGGGAGCTGTGAGTCACTTTAATGTGTACAAGTAGAAAATTGGAAAGGAGAAAAGTAGGAAGTTTGTACAAACCCAAAGAGAGCTATGGGCTTTTATTTCCAGTTCCCTGCTGCCTGCTCAGCTTTAGCTTTTCTCACCTGCTTCTCCATCTCAATCTTGGATTTTCTCAACCCTCATCTGATCAGCAATTTTCAGTTTTGTGTCCACAGCCTTGTGGTTTTGTCACTCCAGTGCTGCAGGCAAAACAAGTACACCAATGTCCCAGAAGAAAAGGGAGAGTGGGTAGATCATACCATGCCTCTGCCAAGTTCATACCTGTGCCATCACTGACCTGCTAAATTGACTGTGGTGTCTTCCTGCTGGCTGCCCCAGACAGTCATAGCTGCCCCAGAATCTATTATCTGTCTGTCAGTGTTCAGGAGAGAGGTGAGGAGGAAAAAAGGGGAGTCTTCAGGGAGAAGAGAAAATGAGACGGAATATTTCCCTGACTCTGGGATTAATGTCCTTCACTGGCAAAGGTTAAGGCAAGTCCAGACAGGAATTCTAGCTCTCAGTCAAGTGTAGAAGGAGAGAAATAGAGAGAAACATAACTAATTTGATATGGTTGTTTCTGGTCCTTGAGTAAGGAAGAATCAATAGTTCCTGGAGCATATGCAGATGAGTTAAGCAGCAGTGTGGGCAGTGCTGGTGAAAACCTCACCAGCCATTAACAGATGCCAAATCACTTTCCTGATCAGACAGCAGCCAGTGTGAAAGACACACCTACCCCAAAATTCAGTGCTCTGCTACCAGTGCAGGAGACACCAGTTCCCAGCCTGCTTGACTTCAGGAAAACAAGGGCTTGCCCTTGCTCATTGCCCTTTCAGATGGTAGTGTAAAAGCCTCCTCTGGTTTTGATGGCTCTTAAAAAGGAATAAATTAAAAGGTCACATGGGCTGCTATTTATGGTAAAACTTTGATCTTTGCGCAGAGGTTTGCTGCATCATGGGAGAGAATGAGGAAACTGCTGTTGGCCTTTTCTCTTTAAATTCAGAAGGGAGGATGTGTAGTTTTTTTCTCTATCTTTAGAAGTGATTAAAATTAGTACATTGTAAAAAAAGCATTCTATATAAAGATGGTTTTACTGAACTACTGGATCATATGATTTACTTTCTCCTGATTTTGCTGGGTTTTCTGTCAGATTACAAAGCATGGTAACTGAGCCTTTTTATTTCTTACAGTTCTGATCTATCTTTTCCTTCTTGCTTCTTCCACATAGTTTGCATAACGGTCAGTCATCTGCATCACCTCAGCTAATTATATGACAATGCCTTAAGACTTTTGATGAGGGATAAAAAGCATGATTAGGGCTTTCTGTTTAGTTATTTCTGATGTTTATTTTTATAGCTTCATTAACAAATTAGAGGCAATACGCACAAAATTCAACATACAGTCCAAAAGTAAAGTGACCAGTGAACAATGCATTTCAGGTTTTCTAATAGTCCACAGGACTCAATTTCAGTCAGTAATTTCACTTAAGGAACTGCAGCTGATTACAGATTAAGCTAAGTGGAGGTCATAAAAATTTCTGTTATGCCATGGCTGCTCATTAGCCATTGTGAAATAAGAGTTTGATCCACCCACAGCTCTACCTCAGGTTATCTGCCTAAGAAACGTACCCTGGGAATAAAGCTTCTGTACTACTAATGAAAATAGACAAAACAACAGCTGCTTTGGAGAAAAGCATTACAAAACTCCTCATAATCAGGGTCTGCACACATTTGCTGTTATTTAGAAAACAGCTTTCTTTTGGGGGGAGGAAACGATCATGATGTGTGACCCTAACTCCAATCATCTCAGTTATCTGCTTCTGAAAGTGACTGAAAAGAGATACGTAGAGGTGAATAAGAGAATAGGAATCCTCCCCCGTGGTATACTCCCAGCACCCAAAAATGACTATCACATTGATCTTAAGAAAGAAAGGCATGGTATGTCAAAACATGAAATTAAAAAAAGAAGTAAGAATCTACAGTGAGCCAAGTTTAAATGTGCTATGCTGTAGGAGTAGCAGCAAGAACGACAATTTAGCAGGAAATACCTCTCTGATCTGCAACTCTGTGTACTTCTGGCTACAAATCATGAGAAGCAAAAAAAGGAGAAGAGAAGGCTGCTTGGGATTAGGCATTTACAACATTTCCATAGGCCCATCTCCCCTACCCTTTCCCCATCCTATAGCTCACTTCAACAACAGAAGGCCATACCCGTGTGCCTGCTGGCTGGTGAGCAGTCAGCATCATCCCCATGTGCCTGCAGAGAGGCCATTTCAAGTCAGCAGGTACATCTCCAGAAAAACATCTTTATTTGTATTAGCGCAACCACTGTCCTGTGGCCTCTTCTGAAGTTTGTTGCTGAGTCTTTCAGCAGCTGTAAACATCCAGCTGTCGTCTGTTTCAACTGAGAGAGCTTTCTGAACCGTTTTCCTAGCCTGCGCTTCTGTGGTTCATACCTCTGACATGAGCCATCTTTGCATGGGATAGAAAGTCACTTCACGCAATTAGCAGGCCAATGTTTTATGGATCATTAGGCAGCGCAGCACAGGAGAATTGTTTGAAGGAACACAGGGCAAATGGAGGGTACGGGGATGGACATTTTCACTCTCTCATACTCTAAATCCTGAACGCTTGAAAAATTTATGCTTATGCACAGATACTTTGGTAAGAGGATAAAACAAAATCTGATAATGTTTCTTTCAGGCAAGTCTCAACAAAATCATAGCTCTTTCTTGCCAAATAATGAGGCTGTTGTTTTTCCTTCTTTTTTTCTGAAGGCATTGTATGAATTTTTGAAGTCTTGGGTTATTGCCCTAGGGAATAGCCTATAATTTGAGTGACTGAACATACTGTCTTTGTTTTGACTTTGAACGGGGTTGGTTCTAAATAAATTATGAATAACAAGAAAAATGCAGCAAACAAATACAGAAGCAACCATGTGACCAGCTCAGACAAGACTAGCCTTTAGTATCCAAACAAATTGTGTGATGGGAAGTGGATCTGCTCACATTGCAAACGACAATTAAAAATCCTGGTGATGACTGCAAACTTCATGTGATTATTATGCTGATAGCTTATGTGCTGCCTTACCCTTTGCATGGTGGGCTTGCTCAGGTAGCAGAGAAAGGTCCAGACAAGGCACAAGAGGTCTTCACAGTGGGTAAGCCATCAGAGACACCTACACAGAAGGATAGGGAGCCTATGAAGGGTAACAGGGCATTCAGGCCACCACAGGCATATTCCCCTATGGCAGGGATGAGATAAGGGTGGAGACCCGGGGCTGAGGACAAACTTCTTCTGGAAGAGAATCAGGAGCAGGGTCTCTGGCAGTTGTGTGGGCACAGGGTTGCTCAAGCAGTGGGACAGATTCACTTTCCTCAGTTGGTGCATCCAGATGACCTAGTTTGCCATCACTTCAGGGCTCCCAGATTGTCTTGGCCCAGCTCCCTCCTCATCAATTGGCTAGAGAGTTGCTGCCCTTGGACAGTGCAGAGCACTCTTCTTGCCTTTACTGCGTGAGTACCCACCAAATATGGTATACAGGCTGTGTCTTCCAGGAAGGGACAAAGAGGTGTCTCCATATATATTGTGGCCACCTCAAGGAAGAGTTTCCTGGCTTCCCTCCTCTGGTTCTGTACCAAGCCTGGCAGCTGCAGACCAAGCAGCTTCATCAGTCCCAAGCTGCAGATCCTTCTGGAACCAATAACTGGTATGAACAAATATTTAGGGGATTAAAAAACCCAAGTCTGTGTAAAAAGAAATATTTCTTTATTAACTTCGGTCAAGGCCTACAAAATTCAAGTTAATAAGAACTTTATCCCTGTTTTTTTCTTTAGAACTGATCTAATTAGGGTTCAGTCCTTTTGTGGTTTGAACTGAAACTTATGCTGTAAATCCTACCATGTAGGCAATGTGCTGATGTGTGGGAATGAAGGGATGGGCTAGAAATATAAATACACCGAGGGGAATACAAAAAAGAAAAGGAAATACAAAGTAAAATGATAATTTAAAGACATAAAAAGAGTAAGCAATAGTTTGGTTCACATAAAATAGGTAAGGAAAATACTTCAAACGTAATTTTTATCTTTGCTACATCTCTTTGAAAACTATGAAAATGTTTGTAGCTGGCTGAAGATCCTGTGGGAAAAAACATTTACATTTTAGCAGCGTTATCTTCTTAGTCTGTTCCTATGACTTCTGTGTACTGCTGTTGTGACAACAGACCAGTTACAGCTATTACAGTTCCCAATTGAATTTGGATTAATGGGTCTTTTTAAGGTCTTTTGTAAATCAACTGAATGCTCCACATAAATTATATGTCAGTCAGGGGATTTTGGAAGTGAAGAAAATGTTTTCTAAAGCCCATATATTGCTATAGGTACTTTTTAGCTTCATTGTGCCTTTGTCTTTTTTCCAGTGGAATATGAAGAAAAACACAGTCCAGGATACTGTGCAAACTTTGTTTAACTGTACGGTGTTAATATTTCATTCTAGTTCTTCACAGCATATAAACTTGAAGTTCAGTGAAGTAAATGGGGTAGCTGGAATTCACAAACATAGCTGCAAATCCTATTAGCAATTAAAGACAGCAGGTCCGAAATGCTCCCTAGTGTGCATAAAATGTTTTATTGCAAAAGAGTCAGTTTGGGATGAATGGAATTTGCATCTTAGAGGTAAAAATACCTCGCAAAATAGTTCTATTAAACAAGTCCACCTTTTCCTGAAAAAGCCTACTAAAATTTAGCATTTGATAGAGGAGGGAGGAAAACAGCCAAGAATGGTTCCAAACAGCTGGGATATCTTGGTCAAGTGCAGGAGCTGAGTTGTGACAACAGACAAGGCTGTTACGTGGCAACTGAAGAAAAGCAGGAGTGTGTTTAGTTTCCAGCAGCACTAAAGTAAACAGGTAAGAGCGTGAGGCTGGATGGGGATGTATATCTGTTGTGCACTGGAAAGTGGCATCTGGGATACCTAAACACATTCCCGGTGCATGCTCTTCCAGCCAGCACTTCCCACATCCATGTCCAGGTCTAATTCAATTGTATAAGCAACCTTTTTCTAGTGGCTATAACACAGCCACCATGCAGGAAGAAATATAGCCAATTTTAAAAATGACCTGTCAGTCCCAGAGGCTCAGCAGTAGACACTGCACTGGCATGTAACAGGCTTGACTACCTGGCTGTGATCTCCACTGTCTTCATAGGACTGTATCCTATATTCTATCCTAATGTGTGTAGAGGTAATGTCTTAATCACGCACAGACTTTCAAATCTGACCACCTCTCTCATCTGCTTCTTACCAAAGGCCATAGTGGTCACCAAAGCTTACCAAAGGCCCAGTATCTCCCGGGGTGGGGGGAAGAAATAAAAGAAAAGGAATTTCCCCTGGAAGATTTGCCTTTACTCAGAGACACCTAATGATGGCAAATGCAGCATTTTCCTTTGTAACTTGTTCCAGCAGCTAATAGCCTCACAGCTGAAAATGCCTGTCACTGTTTCTGATCTGAATGCACTTGGATTTAGCTTGCAGTATTAAGAGTCTTTTTTTCCCCCCTCACACAGGAAATTGCACACAGAAACTCAATCCCCCTTCAGTCTGTTTTGAAGAATTAACAGATTCTTCCTGTCTCCAAGTACACGACAGTTTTTCCAGCCTTCAACTCATTTTGGCGGCTCTTCGCTGCAGCCTCTGTAGCCCTTCAAGTCCCTTTGAAAATGAGGACACCAAAATTATGTGCTAGTATCTATGTTGACAACAGATCTAAATTTACTTCACTGCTCTCCTGATTGTATACCCAGGATCTCGGCTGCTGGCACTGCCCTAGGGTGACTGTGCTGGTCCTTGTACAACATCACCTCTCCAGCTGCTGTAGGGAGCTGTAGGGCTCCCCACCCTGCAGGGATGACATGGCTCTTTTCCAGATGTGGTCCTCTGAGGCGTGATCCCCACTTGGCAGCAGTATCCAGGCTTGTTTTAGTTGTGACACCACACCTGATGGCAGGTATACCCAGAAGGACTCATGGATGCCCTAGGGTGGACGTAGATGTTGAAGCCCAACTTCCCTGAGCAATCACAGTCATTTTGGACCACCATCCTTTCCTCATCACTGTGCCTTTCTTCACCACCTATATCTATTACTGGAAATACATAAAATACGTGTGCTTCTCTGTTTGAAGTGTTGAGCAGAGTTCAACTCTAACACAGATCTCTGTGGAACATGACTAGAAATGACCATTTATGAGTACCCACAAACAAATAATTTTTTTGTCTCTGTCATACAGACAATTTAGGGAATTTAGTCAGTTATATTGATAGCACTAGCCCATGTGCCATGTAGGATTTCCTTAAGAAGAATGTAAGTATACTTATTCTGCTGTCAAGGTCCTTTATCACACAAGTTTATAATCTCCTCAAAAAAGGAAATCAGACTTTCTTTATGAACAGATTGGTTTTCCATAAGGCCATGTAAATCAGCATTAATTAAATTCTCTGCCTTTGCTCCTTCTTTCATTTTCAAGGCCGTTTATTATTTTCTATTTTCTAATGTCTTGTATCAGGCTCAATAGCTAGAGCTATCCTGCTGCTGACACAGAATCAGCGTGTTCACACACTACTGGGATTTGCATGATGCTCCAAGACCTCTACAAAATTAGGATCAGAATAGGCCATCTCACTTTTTCACTACCACTGAATTATCATCTTAAATAGTTTGCTGTCTCCCTCTAGCAATCAGCTGATATCACAGCAAGTATTTTGCTCCTGCTAGAATCAAAATTCCTCTAACAGTCTGTGACCCTGGCAGAAGATAGGCAGTAGCACAGCACCAGCAGTGTACAAAAGCAAACGTTGAGGAGAGCTGATAAGGACAGGTAAATTGCCATAGGCGCTCTTCCAGCAGCCAGTCAGTGTAATCGCATTTTCTCTTGGTTTTCTACACAGTGTATGTTCTAATTTGTGTTTATTGTCTTTACATTCCCTACATTCACTTTTATATATATACACTCAGGTGTACATACACTCTCACACCACCTATGCTCCCACTTTCACTATTAAAATGTTGCACTTTGGCCAAAGCTCTCTCCATTGCAGAAGAGGCACTTTTTAGCAAGGTCTAAGAAAACCTTTGGATATGCAGCTTCTGTACCTGTTCATGCATCTTTCCCATACTGACCTAGCCAAGATAATGCAAACCCCAGTTTAATACAACTGATTAGCTGTCTTCCATTACTGGTTTGTCCAGGGGGCACATTCACACAGGCCTCCCTTCCCTATTCCCCACTGAGTGGGTTTGAGTCCTTAGAACCATTTTTCAGCAGCACTGTGGAGTATACAGATAAAGGAGATCCCTTAATGGCTTGACTGTGCAGAGGTCTCTGCAAAAGAATAGAAAAGAAGACTTGTAGATGATAGGAATGCTACTTACTTTATATACTGCAATAATTAAATTAAAAGCATAAATTATTATATACTTGTAGGCTAAACAGGCATCCCATAGGGAGCAAGCGAGAGCATTTAAGATGGGCTTGCCATTTGGTGAGTGCACTGTAAAAGAGCATGTGTCACTCATTTAATTTAATGTATGATTAACAACTCCGGAACATGATTAGCACTTATCTAATTGTGATTGATGTGAGAAATAGGTCAGCAGCCTTTCCACAAGTGCAGATTCATTGATTGCCAAAATGGAAAGCAAATACATTTGATCATCAGAGGCCCAAGGTTTTGGAAAGTTCCAGAAGCGCTTCCAGCAATGTCCCAGTAAATCTCTGATTACATCTGACAGGAGCGGCTTTAACCATACCCCTGTTTTTTTCAAAGCTGGCATTCAGCTCTCAGATGTTCTCCAACAGGTGGCCTTTAGCTGGACAGTTACCAGGTGGCATTGGTGACAGCAATATTCTGTCCATGTACATAAAATACAAGGGATGTGACAGAATCAGGAGACACCATAAAGTACAAGGGGAAAGCATCCAGATAAACCATGGCCCATTCTCTTTTTTTCCAGGTTTCCACTTTCAAGGATGAGCTTTTCTGACCTTTGCTCTTTTAAAAATCCTGGATTTGCTCATCCATTCGCTTCAGCCTTTCTCCAAGGGCATTTGTAAGGCAAACATCACATTTATTTCTGCCCTCCCCAAAAGGATTTGGGTGCTACAAGAAAAATGTTTGGTGCAGTGTCTTTTCTCCTTAAAAAACTAAGACTTTTGGTGCTCTTCAAAATTTATAATCTGTTTTTTTTGGTTTTGGGGGGACTGTTTGGAGGACACAGTGTAGGTGTGTGACTTCATATAGGCATAGAACCTTGATTTTTTTGTTTTGTTAAGTTAAATCGGGACTTTATGGGAGAAGGAGTATACTCCCTTCACCTCTGCTGGGTTACTTAGGTCCCTTGGTAGAGTTTGGCTCCTCTGCCAATGCTGCGACCAGAAAAGCTGGCAGTGTTTTATCAGCCAAAGGGAAGGGGCACAATCTTTCCCCAGGGAAGTAAGAGGCAGAAGCCAGCTCTCCTGTGAGGCACAGTGCTGGCCATGAATTAACTCTGGGAATTTCATAGAATCATAGAATAGTTAGGGTTGGAACGGACCTTAAGATCATCTAGTTCCAACCCCCCTGCCATGGGCAGGGACACCTCACACTAAACCATGCCACCCAAGGCTCTGTCCAACCTGGCCTTGAACACTGCCAGGGATGGAGCATTCACAGCTTCATTGGGCAGCCCATTCCAGTGCCTCACCACCCTCACAGTCAAGAACTTCTTCCTTATATCCAATCTAAACTTCCCTTGTTGAAGTCTGAACCTGTTACCCCTTGTCCTATTGCTACAGTCCCTAATGAAGAGTTCCTCCCCAGCATCCCTATAGGCCCCCTTCAGATACTGGAAAGCTGCTATGAGGTCTCCACGCAGCCTTCTCTTCTCCAGGCTGAACAGCCCCAACTTTCTCAGCCTGTCTTCATACGGGAGGTGCTCCAGTCCCCTCATCATCCTCATGGCCCTCCTCTGGACTTGTTCCAGCAGTTCCATGTCCTTTTTATGTTGAGGACACCAGAACTGCACACAATACTCCAGGTGAGGTCTCACGAGAGCTGAGTAGAGGGGCAGGATCACCTCCTTTGACCTGCTGGTCACGCTCCTTTTTGGAAGGAATTTGGGGAAGTCTCTCTTCTTCCAAGAGGTGGAAAGCTTTTTTGTGAATGAGACCCACACCTTGGGTCTCCTGGGTTGGCTGCACTGATTCAGTACCCAGAGTGAGCCTGAGAATGGGCAATCAAATGCTTTGGATTTAGACATACTGTCTTTTCCTCTCAAGGAGGTTAAACCACAGCCAGGTTTGCCAGCACTAAGCAGGCATACCCCAGGGAAGCAGGGTTGAAGGGACAGCAAGTCACCCATGCCAGCGTTTTGCTTCCATGTTATACAACATGCTGGAGCTGCAGAGCCCCTAGCCTGCCTCCAGGTCAGGGATATTTCCCCTCCATCAAAAGGGTTTGAAATGAAATCTTCATGCTCAGTCAGCAGCAAGGGATGGAAATTGGTACCTGGTGTCTGAGCTTCCAACATTGTACTGGCGGGAGAGGGAGGAAAGAGTGTGGGGCACAGGACGAAAAAGCCATATGTGAACCTTGCCTCTTTCAAAGGAAAAAAGTTAGGTTTAGTAACCACAGTGATAATAATATAAAAGAGCATTTATAACTGTGTGTTTATACTCCCATGGGTATTGCTTCAGCAGCATAAAAGGCCTTTAGACCACCCTTAGATGATACTGTCTACTCAGACTGAAACCCTGCCTTACAGCCGTGCTTTTCCTGTGACATCCAGCCCCAGGCGCCTGGCTGAAAGCAGAAGTTACTGGCGAACAAAGTAGAATAGCGGACTGCTGCCGACGAAGGGAGAAGCAGGTCTGCCCTCTTGTGTACAAAGCATCTACTGCATCTTTTTCTAAATCTGAAATTAATTTATTCCTTGTGATAGTAAATGAAGAAAATACACGAATGTCTTGAGCATTTTAACCTTACCATATAAAGAACAAGAAAAGAAAGGATGAAGGATGAGATGATTTACTCTCAGGAATTAGTCTGTAGACTCAAAAGTAACAGATCAATGTTGAGTAGCTTGGCCAGGAGGAGCTGCTTTGAAAACTTAGGCTATCAAACTAGAGACCATGAAAACATGAGTAGTATGAAAATATGAGTAGTACAAAAACATCTAATAAAATTAGTTAAATCTAATTGCCAGCAAAACTCAACCAGCTGCAAAATTATTGCCCATTAAAAGCAAGCAATTTATTTTATTTTTTTAATGAGGGAACAAAATAGCTTCAGTGTTTTCACTGCACTCATCACAGGGGTAGGACCAAGAGAGAAGATTTCAGTTGAGGCAAGCATATTTTGCCAGCCTTAATTAAACCAGAGAGGGGCAGAAGCCAGCTGACTTCACAGGTTTGGTAAGGTCAGGCTAAGCTTCTGTTTCCTCCTTCTTCCAGCTATTTTCTTCTGAAACATCACGGCCAGTTCCCTTAATCCCTCATCTTCCCAATTCCCACATATTAGATGTGACACTTGTAAGAAATTATAACCTGGACAGCTTCTCTGGACACCAAGATCAAAAGATCAGCCCCGCGATGAGTAGAAAATGCAGCACAGGGTATTTCCAGGGCAAAGCTCAGTCTTGTCCTGCCATGGCACTGGCAGACCAAGCTGCCAGTTTATAACCTGCTGTTCATTTTCTGCTTGCAAACAATTTAGTAACATCTGTTCAGACACAGAGAGAGCCCTGAGGCTGGGCTTGTTCTGCACTGGCCTTCTAGGAACAGATATTTTGTCTTTTTTTCTTTTCTTTGTTTTTTTTTTCTACTTTTCTTTTCTTTTTTTTTTTTTTTTTCTTTTTTTTTCTTTTTTTTTTGGTTTTTTGTTTTTTTTTTTTTTTCTTTTTTTTTTTTTTTTTTTTTTTTTTTTTTTTTTTGTTTTCTACTTTTTTTTTTTTAACAGTAGAAATATCCAGGGCAATGCTACCGAGGAATGTGTCAGTAGACCATGGCTTCACAGCTGACTAGGCCATTTTAGTGTGAAATCTGGATGCAGCTTTAGAACATGTGCCACAGCAAAAGATGTATTAACAATTTGTTGCCACTGCTCCAACAATACACTAGATCTGATGGCATCAGGTTTTTCTCTCATTACAATGAAAAAGCAGCTATATTTTGGGTCTGAGGATACACTGATATATAACAAAATGAATAAACTCTGCAACATAGAATTCCATCTTCTGTAGAAGTGGTAGATGCTGTCCAGGTATATTTTTGCACTCCTGATCCTCTCCAGAGTATTTTTTGTAAGTGTCCCAACGAGATAAGCAATAGAGCTATCTCACATGGATTAGAGTGCTGTCATCTGAAGCAAGATTACACCAGCAACAAATGTCACTTGGTAGACTATATCTAATACAACTTTGCTATAAAAAACACCAACCTTATTCCCTCCTCACCATAAGATAAACAGGAATAAAAGGGTTAAAAAAAAAAGTTAATTTTCTGCCACTGAAATAAAAGCAGTTATTATTCTAGTTTCTTATTCTCTGCTACCCTTTTAACCACTTCAGACTGGTGGTTGCAGATTTGGGGGTCTGTGGCTTTTTACACTTGTTTGTGCTATAGAACTGCATAGTTAGTCTCTGTCAACATCTGGGACTCTGGTTTGAAACAGTGGTGAGGACAAAGCTATTCAAAAGCATCTTGAAGCTCCATTTCATCTTTGCTCTGGCTACAATCTCTGTAACCAGCTGAGGGGTAGGTTATCAGGTTACCAAATGAAGAGTCTGGGCAAATTAGGAGAAAGGTGTTTTCTGTTAGCCTGTTCTCATTAAAAGAAAGGTCTAAATAAATATCCCTTACAAATACTCTTTACCAAAAAATATTCAAATGCTTTGGGTTATTTTTGTGTGTCCTATTTCTTTTTTCCTAAGGGGCTGGTAAAGGCACAGGTAAAGGAAAATGTGCAGTGTTGCTCTTCTAGTTTCTTCTCGGAACACTTCATGCTGGTGGGTGTGCATAAAGCAGACCCCAAAGACAGGACCTCCTTGAATCTAGGAGAACTGGAAGCACATGGAGATGCCTCCTCACCCTGTTGCCATCATCCATCAGGACTCAAACAGAAACCATGGCATCCTCAAGAGGTCTTTGGGCCGTTAACAGCACTGATGCTGCTACTTGCTATTTCTGCACAGATGGCTGGCTCACAGTCATTACAGCATGGATGCTGTTAGTGCAACTTTTAACATATACATTTTAAAAATCGGAGGAATCTGCAATAGAGTCAGCACATGGCAATATCTGAATGACTAATAGCCAGCAGAGGTTAATGTCCCTTAGCTTCCTCACAGGCCATCAACCCCTAGAGCTGATCATTAATTGCCCGGAATAGCCTATGCCATGGTCATTACCGTTTAAGTATTCAGACGAAATGAATAATATAAATTCTAGGAATTCCATTTTCACAAATAGAGAGCACTCTTTTTTTTTCCCCCCAGACATATTCCACATCCAATCTAACGTTATTTTCCTCCCTGCTTTAATCGATGATGCTCTGTTCCTGTTAAGCTTTCAAAAAGGTAAAGACATTTGTTACATATTAGACAGCATTTAGAACAGACATATAACCAGCTCATACTCAATTACTTTCACATGACTGAACAAATAACCACAGAAATCGATCATGGTAAGTAATAAATGAATGAACTGGAAATCACAGGAAAATCTGCATCCAAAATGCAGAGCAGGTATGATCTGGTCTTACTTTCCATTTCCCAGTCTTGGGGACATGGGACACTCTGAGAAACCTTTGAGACTCCTGAGCATCCTTTCCTAGAAGACAAAAAGCAGAGGGAAGCTTCGTTTCATTAAGGTAACTAACTTGTACACAGCAACCCACCAAAGCCCTCATAGAATCGTAGAATAGTTAGGGTTGGAAACTACTTCAGGCTTCTTGATTACACTGCAACATACTACATAAGCCCAATTTCCTTTAGGTTTGTTTGGTAAGGAAGTCTTGTAGAGTGTCTCAAACCCATGTGCCCTAATTTGTGCCCAGGAATTCACTAACCCTACCTCTCCCACCACTATTTTCCACAGAAGGAAATGTGTGTATGTAAGACTGTGGTGAGCTCCAGCTCAGGATGTGGCTGGCACCTTACCACATATATACCTTACCACATATATATCATCACACATATACCTCTTTTCTTCCCAGGAGAAAGTTTAACGCACAGTCTTTGAGAATTTAAAGCTAAATGCATTTATACTTGCTTTTAGCACTGAGGAAAGGTATTTAACCTCAAAATTACAGAGGCACAAAGTGCCAAATTCTTCCCATACCAGCTGAAAGACTTTGCAAGAAATGGCACACCAGATCTTTCTTGCATGGATACCTACAAAAAGCAACACAGAATTACCTCCTGGGCATGTTTTATGTGGTGAAACTCTGTGGCCAGCAGAGTGGAAGAGTTCAAACTTGTCAGTCAAGCAGTTTCTTCTGCTTTGAAGATCAGTGGATTTTTCAGGTTTTAGAGTCAGGAGAAAAGAGGCACCAGAAGCCAGCCCACATAAGGTCACAGAGATTCAGAGAGGTTTTGATCCAAGGTTTTGATGCACTTCACCAGGTGTTACTTCCCACCTGCTCATTTTCCTACCCCAATGCACGCCCAGATTCCTAAAGCTTGTCCTGACTGTGTTCAAGGTGTTGAAATTATTTGCAACCTGATTGTCCTTTATAAAGTACTGTTGTTGCCATGCTTATGTTCCCTCAACAGGCAGGGTGGCAGACCAGCACCCTGGCTTAGGAACGCGTGTGAGGAAAAGGTTCAGAAACATGGCATTTTATCTTCAGCCACTTCTATTATGAACAACATTTTGAGAGTGTGCCTCTGTTTCTGTTGCTCTCTGTATGCATACAGGTCGTTGGTTGACAAATGATGTGTATCAAGGACAGTTTGTGTTCAAAGGATGCTGCTGTTGGGTCTTTTACGGAGCTCAGCTTTGTGTGCATGAGGATGCGTTCTAAGTCATTTTGGAGAAGGTGCAAACAGCGTCCTGTAGGATTTCATTGTGCACAGGCCTGCTTCTCAGTATAGCACTTTCTACGCGATCTGCTGGATAGAGCTGGATGAGAGCCTCTCACTTTCAATGCACAATTAAATGCTGTGTGAGCTTGTCAAGAAAAAGTAAATGTAAGAAAAAGCATTTTCTAGGGGATGGATGCAATATGGGCATGTTTGCACTGGTAAATCAAACAGGGCCTGGCCATGAGTTTGAGCACTATTCCTCCATATGTCTGTGCAGCTTATCACTAGCATTTTCCCTAAACAGGTTTTGTTAGCCAACCAGCAGTCCCTTACAGAGTGCCTGGGTGCAGCTTGGAGGTTAGGATGTGAAGGGACCAGCCCAGCAAGTCTGAACATGGCCACACTTGGGATTTTTGAAAGGGAGAAGGAGAGGCTGTGGAGTTTAGCTGCCTGGATACAAATCATGCCCTGCCTTGGCTTCCAAGCTGTGCTCAGTCCCTTTGCCAGTTTTTGCATTAAGTACAGATAAAGATTATGGGCCTAAAAAAACATGTGAGGTTTGTATTCCAGCCGTTCAAGAGATTTGTTGTGTGACATCTGAAACACTGTTGGGTTTGTACTAATAGAGATCCTTGTTCGCAGAAAGTTGTCTTCTATAAGATCAGTGCTCCAGGAGAATCGTGTATTCATAGATGTGCTGAAAATTATGAGCATTTTATCTTACTGGATGATAAAAAATAACAGGAAGGGGGATACTATCAACCCACTGCTACAGACAAGACCTAGAAGAGGTTGCAGTGGAGATCTTTTCTGGGGAGGGTCCAAAACTGCAAGAGAGGGAGTTTAAGACCCAGGCACTGTATTTCCCTGCTCCTTCACGGCAACCAGAGACACCACAGCTGTAGACAGGCCTTGTTTTTACTCCACATCCCAGTTTCTCACTCAATAACTTCTACAGTAATACAAGGAAAGATCAAATCTTGAAACTCATTCCTTTTTGCTTTTTCATTTGGTATTGTTTTCATTCTAAGCACTCTCCTGTGACAGAGTCCCTGATTAAAAGAGTTCACTAACAAAATGGAGATGCAATGCAGAAAAATGGATGAAGAAAGAAAAGGAGGGAAAGGAGTGTCCTGTGTCCCTTTGACATCCTCTTGACAGCTCTTCTGCATTCATATATATATATATATATGTCCAACACAGACATCTTGAAGATCTAGTGTATTATTACAACCATATTACTGCACTACTTGTCAGGTCCATGACAGACGTGAGCTTTCTGACAGGGGAGGATGAGACTGTAAAAAGCTTTCTCTGGAGGTTATTTCATGCATGGAGAGCTGCAAAAGGGAGGGCAGCAGAACAAGAGTAGGAAATGGAGAATGAAAGAATGCCAAAGACTTCATCAGGATAAAAAGATGAGAAGGGAAGATCAGAAGATCAAGGACAGGGCTACATAGGGTCTTGATAGTGAAAGGGAGATGTCTAATTTTTTAAGCTGTGTAATGGAGGGAAGGCAGGGTGGGAAGGCAAGAGGGCAGCCAGGTGATGTATCCAGTGTGATTTAAGCTAATCCATTCCCAGAAGGGGGACAGCAACTATGAAACTGTTTTGGTCCAAATGTGCAGGTTCCCTTCTTTTTAACAAATATTGCTCCTGAGAAATCCCACGGGCTGTGGGATTCCTAAGATTTGCTTCTTGCAGCTTCACCTACATTTAAAATAATTCTGCACCCTCAATCACACAGTCAGGTATCACAGAAGTCATCTCTGTGTGACAGAGGTAAAGCTGTGAATTTGGAAATGAGGAGATAGCACCACAGCCTGGCTCCTGTTGGAGTTGGACCTGTCTAATCAGCCAAAAGGCTGCATCTAACATCACCTAACATGCACCATGTCACAGGATGGGACAGAGAAGTGACATGATAAGCAGGCACATGTTACTGTGCTCAATTAGGTCCTGGCCAGTGGCACACTGCCCTGCAACAGCCTGGTACCCCAGTGTCTCCATGCCCTGGGAACTCTCCTTGCAGACATCTCTCCTAATCCCACATTGTCCCTTGCATCAAGGAAAAAGAAATTTGACAGTACAAAGGAAAAACAAAAACTTTACGCTTTCACCTTCTCCACTGAATTAATAATCTCTGGCAGATTTGTGGCTTCCTGTGACCCTTGAGTTTTACTGTCTGCTAGCACATCAGGCACCGATTTTCCTCTCTCTTTCCCCTACAGCAAGCATTACAGTGATCTTTCTCAACACTGACAGGGGCAGGGCTTATTTCCAGTAAAAGGGCACCATGCACAGCTGCACAGGGTAAGCGAGGTTAGGGAAATAGGTGCATCGGAATAATGAGAGCACAGAGAGCAGCAGGCTTTCAATATGTTTATGCAGTTAAATGTAACAAGTTCAGACACTATCATTTATTTTTTGGCCATTGTTCACCAGAAAAAAACCCAAACCCACCCGTGTGTTTGTGCCGCTTTCTCTCTGTGAGCACTTTCCTATTTTTCTTAACCTCTGCATTGCAGTGCAGCTCGACCGTGTACATGAAGATATACTCCCTGCCCTGGGGAAGATTCAAGATAAGCAGAGAAGCGACATACAAATGGCAAGGGGGAGAGAGTGATCTAATCGACTGGCTGCAAGCTTTGTACATTAAGATAGGAAAAGCATACAGAGAAGAGGAAAGCTGGTTTCTGCTGGGAGAGGCACGCTGCTCTCCCCCTTCTTTTCTTTGTCCTTTTCTTTTTGCCCTGGTCTCCCTCGTTCCCTTTTTTGTGCTTCCCATGCTGAGATGGTATTATGGGAGTCATTGCGAGGGCAGTAGTGTGGCCTGTGCACATATATTGGTTGGTTGGTTTGTTTTCTCATTTAGTTTGCTGCCTCTCTCTGTCACTTCTCATGGCCTTCAGCTTGGCACAGGGCTGCTCCTTGCTAAAATTGGCTCCATTCCTATTGCCGTCTGGTGAATACCTAACACCTGCTGATGGTCTTTGTGTTTGACCATTTTCACGTGCCTCCCATATTGCATGTAAAGATGGAAAACAGGCTATTTCCCCCTCCTCCCCTCCCTTCCTCACCCCTACAACTCTTTTCAGATGTCAAAGCTGAACTCAGCAATACCAAAGGATTTCCTGCACTTTCATTTCACTATATTGCTCATCTTTGGGTGGAGTTTGTGAAACTCATCTTCAAAACATCTTGAATGCTTGAAGCTCAAGAAGGAAGCTGAATGCTTTTGTTTCAGGACAAAAAAGGTGTTTCATATTACAAAATGCCAATTCTTTCTCTGGCCCTTCTGTCAAGCTGGAAAACGGTTTGGAAGTGTCTGACCAACAGCAGGGCTTCTTGCCTCTTTGTGCTACTCCCAGTTAGCCATAAACCAATAAGATGTGACCAAATCCTCCCCATTGTACACTGTCATCATGGCATGGATGGAAGAGTACCTCATAGAATCATAGAATAGTTAGGGTTGGAAAGAACCTTAAGATCATCTAGTTCCAACCCCCCTGCCATGGGCAGGGACACCTCACAGATGCCATTGCAGTGGCTCTGCCACCCTGCCTGCTCCTTCTTGCTGCCTGTGCCCAGCAGCGGCAGTTGGACCCTGTGGCAATGCATGGAAGAGCCTTCACACTGTCAGCACTGGAATGGGGCAGCAATGGGTGAGTCTTCTTTGACCGGAGTGTGGCCTCTGATCTCCCAGGCCTCCTCTCTTCAGTCCTAGGACCTTTCAGACTTTGGAAATGCCCTGACATGGAGTGACTTTGGTTCACAGATGGTCTGAGTCAGCAGGTCTGTGACAACATGCACTGTATGGGCCATAGTTACACAGGGGACATCATATAGGGCTCCTGTTGGTGCTGCAACACGCGCTACTCATGGGCTCCAGGTGTCCATGGAGCTAAGATGTTAAGCCATGCTCCTGCACTTTGCAGGGTGCTGTGGCATGTGACCAGGAGAAAGGAGGACCTGCTTTCCATTGTGTTGCAGAGCTGTGGTCAATACTTTAAACATACAAAATCTGTGTATCCCCATGGACAAGACTTTGGCAGGGTAATGATGCTGTAGAAGATCACAGAGGTCTGACATGAATGTGGTAAACTTCTTTTACCACAAATACCTTGGCTTTGGAAATGCTACCCAGCACTTAGAAAGCTGTGCACTTGGCTAGGCACCTCTGCTCTTCTCATGGCTTTTTTCATCCTCCTTTCTCACAGCCAGTTCTGGGAAGAGCTGTCAGCACAGCTCCTCATTTCACATCTCTCTCAGACAGCTTGGACAAGGGCACTGAAGCCATGCACTCATCCCTGGCTGTCACCCAGACTGCCTGTGTGCACTTGGAAAAGCTCTCAAATCCTCCATCACCTTTCCTCACCACCCCGCATTTAATGGAGCTCATTTCTTAGCTCTACAGGACCTTTCCTCCTCTGCAGCCACTGTAGACTCTTCAGTTTGAATCCATCCTCCCTAACTTTATGCATGCAGCTGAAGTGCTTGGTAAATATCTTGTACCCATTACCATCTCTGTGGTCACTGAAGAGCCAGAGAAAGGCATATCCATGTGGGAAGTGATATGAGGTGGGATGTACCAGTCTGGCATGGATCTGGGCTGCAGCTCCCCTTCTACCCCCTCTACCCTGAAAGGCGGTAGATTTAGATGAGAAATAAAGAAGAAGCTCTTTACTGTGAAGGTGATGAGGCACTGGCACAGGTTACCCAGAGAAGCTGTGGCTGCTCTATCCCTGGCAGTGTTTGAGGCCAGGTTGGATATGGCTTGGAGCAACCTCGTCTGGTGGAAGGTGTCCCTGCCTATGGCAGGGGAGTTGGAACTAGATGATGTCTAAGGTCCCTTCCAGCCCTAACCATTCTACAGTTCTGTGTTTCTATGATTCTCTGAGTTCACAGCACCTAGTGTAAAGATCCTGAATCTGGGGCACTCAAGTAGGGCTCAAGAAGTAGCCAAAGTGACTTCAGAACTGGACTGTCTTCAACTAAATATCTACTCAATATGGTGAAAATTTTATATCCATCTCTTGAGAAGGCTTTTTCTGCTATTTATAACAAAACTCTCCCCATATGCAGTTTAATTGCTTAGCCTTTTAGGAAATTGTATATTCCCTGACTTCCCAGGAAAGAAAGCATATGTCTTCCTGTGGCTGCTACTGCACAGACATCCTTTTTGATACCACATTGCACTAAAAGTGATGTTGCTTTTCTCAGGGCACAGATAATACAACATAAAGATTTGTAAAGTATCTTTTGAAAAGGCTACTTCAAAAACATCTCGCCTCATTAATACAAGCTGAGCGCTTCAAAAAGCCATCTTTGCTGATCTAGCTCAAAGAAATGCCAAGATTTTAGCAAAGGGAAGGCCCCAGAGTAGTCAGGGGGCTTAAAACTAAGGAGAGACTAGCAGGATCTACAAGTACACAGGGCTAAAAGTAGGCCGACATGCTTTGGCAGGATGAAGCCTGCTGTCAGACTCACTGTGCTGACCCAATTCCTTGCAGGACTCTGCAGGGGAAATGCACATTCCTGCAGTTCATCCCCTTCCTTCGGTGTCATTAGCTCTGTTCCTCCCACATTGAACTGCACAGGGGAATGATTTTGCTTCACTGCTGAGGGTATGGGAAATGACATTTAATTTTTGCTGTGTGGTTTAAGAGATGGTTGTTTGATTCTAGTGAAAAAGCTGCCCTGAGATTTTCCATGCAGCTTGGGGACTGAAAGGGAAATGGAGCCCAGCTTCATCCCCTTCTCCATCAGAGAGCAGCCTGATCGCTGTAAGGTCTGGGATAACTGCCCCATGGGGAGGGGTCAGCTTGAGCAGGGGTAAAACGGTCCCTTTTTTTGCCCTCAAGCAAAGCTTAAGACATAATCCACTGGACAACAGAGACAACAACCCACCTCCGGAGCCTAGGCAAGGAGATGGGGCAACAGCCCTATCAGTACAACAGAGGGACACTGTTGCTTTGAGTTGACAGCTGTCTGAAAACAAAAGTAGGTTGCAAATATCTTGCCCTGTACCTAGCATTGCCTTTCTTATGTAAATTTATGTTACCCGATTTCCATTTTCCACAACTTCCTCCTCAGTAACATGAAGTTAATATTTATACATACTTAATTAGTGCACAGTTTATGTGTACACACTTCACTGGGGTTCTGCAGATTAGTTAACCAAAATCTGGCTGGATTCTGCCCTGCATATGGATTTGTATGGGTGTAAACAGGATCACAATTTATCTGCTGCAAAGTGTGCAGGAAACGAGAAATAAGTTGAATTTTATAAACAAAGTATTAAATGCTAAAAAAGTGTACAATTTTTAGTATGTTATTTTAGAGCAGGAGAAGTAGCAAAATAAAACATTGTGGAGCAAGGACACTCCTGAATAGCAAGCAGTTGAGAAGCAAATAAGTACAGCTCCTTAAGTCCCCCAGCGATGATACTGTTTGCTTGACAGCATTCATTCAATCAACTCAATATCATGTAAGGATGCACATAAAGGAAAACCCCACCCCCAGCTAAGGTAAAACCTGATTCTTGATAGGGTACAAGGCTGCTTATTATTTTCACGGTCATTTTTGGTACAAATAATGGGGGTGTAGAGCTTCCCTTTCACCACCAGAGGTCATAAGCAAAACATCTCAGCTCTGGTGGAGGGAGGGAAGTGCGAGAGTCAGCAGAAATACTGCTTCTTTCATGGTAGGTAAAATACAGGCGGTAACTGAAAGGATTCCCCAGCAGTTGGGAGGAAAGGTGCCAAGGTTAGCAATGCAACCATCAGTCTGCCTGCGCGGGAGCTGGGCAATGGGGAGAGGCATAGCTCAGACACTGCTAGGTGTAACACAGATTTGCTGATGACATTTGGTGCCCTTTGTATTTGTTTATTCGTGAACACTAAAGTAGGAAACTTTCTGTGTTTTGCAGGAGGGGTGCAGAAACTAAAAGCTCTGTTGAAACCTGTGTGAATATTAAAAAAAAAAAAAGGTATTTGCAGATTTCCTTAAAATGTGCTTTTACTGTTTGCAGACCCATTTCAGGAATACTAAAAAAGCCTCTGAGCAGAATCAGCAGCTGAGAGAGGGAATTTTCCTGGCCATAAAGCTGGGATCAGCTCATGGACAAGAAACATGAGCACATGATTTCTCTGATCAGCCATAAGACGCAAAATTTGGAAAGGCAGCAGAAAACTTCGGATGAAAATCAGCTCAAGTATATCCACACTGTAAAACTTCAAGCAGTTATTGAAGTCATGGACTGTAAACTGTGTGCACATTGTTTGCAAAAGGGAATGTGCTTTTAGACAAATTATTTATGACAAATAACTTCCTTCTTCTCTCCCTGCCCCTTTGAGCGCAGCTGTGGGCAATGTGTGTTGGAAGGGAAGGGTCAGAGGGTGGCAAATCAAAATCGTCATTTTTAAATTCAGAAAATACCAAGTCAAGCAACTGTGCTCTGCTGTAATGCACCATCATGTCCTGGCCAGAGCTCTGTGCACTCCTGGTGTTGGTGGCCAGGATTTGCTGTCTTCCCATGAGAGCACACACAAGGAAAGACAAATGGCATGTGGCAGAAAGAATGGTACCGACGAGACAGAATTTCCCAATTCCCTCCATAGTTTTACAACTTGACAGCACACATACTTTCACTATAAATAAAAAAGAC